TTGGGGGCTGGGGATGTGGGGCCAGGCTGTGTGGCTGGAGGGGGTCCCCACAGTCTCCTCAGTGAGCACCCCTCTCACCGTAGGTCAGAGGAGAATTGGGAGTAGGGGCAGGGCGAGCTGGGGATGGCCTTGGCCTCTGTTCCCTGGAGGTTACAGGCCTGGGCTTTGGTTGAGGGACCTCTGGGGTCTGTCACAGTCTCACCTCAACTCTGCCCCAGGGAACAGCTTCGTCAGGCACAATACCCGCCAGCTGACCCGCGTGTACCCGCTCGGGCTGCGGATGAACTCGGCCAACTACAGTCCCCAGGAGATGTGGAACTCGGGCTGTCAGCTGGGTAAGTTGGGGCCCTAGGAGCGGGAGCAGGCAGGGTGCCACAGTGTGGGGGAGGCCTTGGCAGTCAGGGGCCCACACAGCCTTCCAGGCAGTGGAAACATGCATTTTGTTGATTATTTTTAAAGTTGCCAGCAATGTAGGTGGGAAAAGCAAATCAGGCTCGTTTGTTCTTGACAGTGTACAAGTCTCGCATTTTTATGATGGTAGAAATTAAAACCTCCACTCCCATATCACCCAGACACACACCCCCCCCACACACACACCTGGCAGTCCCACTAACTCAACACCAATGAGGGCAGGCTCTGGGGGACACTGAGCCCCACCAACGGAGGGCCGTATCGTCTCCTGGGGATGAAGATGGAAACCCCAGGCTTCTTCAGACCCCTGACCCAAGCGTGGCCCTGACGGGGGGGTGCTTTTTCAGCACCTCGCACCCCAGCCTTGAGGGATCCCAGGGCAGAGGTACAGGTGACAGTGGGGGCTGGGTCCTTGACCACCCTCCCCTGAAGTCAGGTAGGGGCAGAGCAGCACTAAGCAGACAGGGACCCCAGGCTCTTTGTAGAGAGAAATGCGGTCCCCTGAAACTGAGTAGTGAGGACAGGACTGCTACAAGCCCTGCTCTGATCCTGCTGTGTCCACAGTGGCCTTGAACTTCCAGACGCCAGGATACGAGATGGACCTCAATGCCGGCCGCTTCCTGGTCAACGGGCAGTGCGGATACGTCCTGAAACCTGCCTGCCTTCGGCAACCTGACTCGACCTTTGACCCCGAGTACCCAGGACCTCCCAGAACCACTCTCAGCATCCAGGTCAGCAGGCTGGACCGGGCCCCAGCCTGGGGTCAAACTGGTTCTGGACCCTTTGTGAGGTGGAGGAAGGCAAGGGAGGTTGGGGACAGGTTGGGAGTCGGGGGTGGTCTGAGCTTGAGGCCCATGAGGGGATGGCCAAGGTGGGCGTGGGCCCCAGCCACTCCTTTCCTCACCCCACAGGTGCTGACTGCACAGCAGCTGCCCAAGCTGAACGCCGAGAAGCCACACTCCATCGTGGACCCCCTGGTGCGCGTTGAGATCCACGGGGTGCCCGCAGACTGCACCCGGCAGGAGACAGACTACGTGCTCAACAACGGTGGGCGGTCGTGGGTGGAAGCGGGGTGCAGGGTGGGTCCTGGGGCCCCCTGGGCTCTGACTGCCACCCCTGTGCCCTAGGCTTCAACCCCCGCTGGGGGCAGACCCTGCAGTTCCAGCTGCGGGCTCCGGAGCTGGCACTGGTCCGGTTTGTGGTGGAAGATTATGACGCCACCTCCCCCAATGACTTCGTGGGCCAGTTTACACTGCCTCTTAGCAGCCTCAAGCAAGGTTGGTGGAGGCCGGTGGGGATGGAGAGGGATGTGGGTCCAGGCCCTGCACACCCTGTTCATCTTTGTGCCTCGAATTTCCTGCCCTGAACCAGGCTGGGCTGGGCCAGACCCCCAGGGTGGGCAGAGGATCTGAGGCCTGGCTGTCCTCCGCACAGGGTACCGCCACATACACCTGCTTTCCAAGGACGGGGCCTCACTGTCACCAGCCACACTCTTCGTCCACATCCGCATCCAGTGCTCCTGAGGGCCCAGCTCACCTGCCCTGGGGTTCCACGAGGGCCAGCCCATGTCCCCTGCAGAGCCCTCTCCTCCTCTGGAGTCGGGTGGTGGGAGTAACAGCCGCCCAGCCTGCCCACTTGGCCCACTCAGCCCACTCACCAGGCGCTGGTCTCACCTGGGCGCTGAGGGCTGCCTGGGCCCCTTCTGAAGAATAGCCTGGTGCTCGTGCGACTTCGGTGAGCCCCAGCCCTTCCGTGGCCTGAGGTGGCCCAGCTCCTCGTCCTCATCGTGACTTATGAAGAGCCGAGCCTGTTCCTGCCAGGAGATGGGGAGGCAGGACGCCTGTGGGCCCGCGGTCCCTCTCTGTCCTCCAGTGGGCCATCCCAGCCTCCTTCCCCCAGAGGAGCGCAGGCACCCCACTTGGCCCCAACCCGGGCTTAGCCAGCCCCCCAAGCCCTCCTTTGCCCCAGGCCTTCTGAACTCCTCCCTTCAGCTCCAGAACCTGTGCTCCACTTCCCTTCTTTTTTTTTTTTTTTTTTAATAAGATGGGGTTTCACCATGTTGGTCAGGATGGTCTTGAACTCCCGACCTCAGGTGATCCGCCCACCTTGGCCTCCAAAGTGCTTGGATGACAGGCGTGAGCCACCATGCCCGGCCCCCTTCCCTTCTTAAAGCAAGAAGGAGGCACTGAGGCATGAAGTCCTGGGGAACCTGGCAGTAGGTTTTGGTTTTTATTTTTTGAGACAGGGTCTTGCTCTGACACCCAGGCTGGTGTGCAGTGTTGCAATCACGGCTCACTGCAGCCTTGAACTCCTAGGCTCAAGCGATCCTCCCATCTCAGCCTCCTGAGTAGCCGGGACTACAGGCGCAGGCCACCACACTTGGCTAATTTTAAAATTTTATGTCGAGACGGGGGGTCTCCCTGTGTTGCCCAGGCTAGTCTCGAGTTCCTGACCTCAAGTGATCCTCCTGCCCCAGCTTCCCAAAGTGCTGGGATTTACAGGCGTGAGACACTGCCCGGCCTGGCAGTAGGTTTGTAACTGTGTCATAGAGTCCTGGAGAAGACAGTAGAAGGAGCCTATCTAGTTTAAAAAATAAAGCAGCACGTTTATTTTACCCTGAGCACTCCCTGAGCACCTCTATGCTGCCACCCCCACAGGCCCATGAGGAGGGACAGGGCTGGACGAGTCCCTTGGGCCTCTTCCTCAGCAGGGTGTGGACTTGTCTAAGACAACCAGAGGGTAGCTGCAGGAGATGCCACAGCTCAAAATAGCCCGACCCCTGCTCCTGGCTTAAAGCTGCTGTATCACAAGACTGTCTGAGGACGCCAGTCCACAAGGTCAGTGCCTCCCCGCAACACACACACACACACACACACACACACAGAGGGACCTTGGATGAGGAAGGGACAGGAGTCTGAGGGACCCTCAGACAGACTGCCACTCTCCAGGCTTAGCTGCGTTCAAGGCCCGTCTGCTCAGTAGGGCAAATCCCAAGGACATGGGCTTCCTTTCCCCCAGCCGGCCAGCCTTTTACATGAAGGCTGGAAACACGTCATTATAGAAATGCTATATACGCCTCTATGGAAACACTGGGAGAGTGCACTGGACACCAGATGACAAAATCCCGAGAAAATCCTGCATCCACCCTGACAGTAGGGTGACAACGTGGAGGCCTGGAGTTTTAGGTTCCGCCAGGCAAGTGTCGACACTGGACAAGGGCAGAACTTGACATGAGTCCCATCCCCAGAAGGTGGCCTGGAACTGGGCTGGGATAGGCCTTGAATTGGCCCCAAGCCCCAGAGAAACTAAAACAGGGCTGGGGCAGACTCCACCTTCCAGCAACTCCACGAACCAATGTGCAAAGTGGCAGCATCCCCCGCTTCTTCATGCTGGGAGTGGCGTTTGGGTCTCATGAACGTGTGTGTCTGAAAGAGAATAATCAGCATCAAAAGGGCCCAGAAGGAATGGGCTGGGCCACACAGTCCAGGCACTCAGGGCTGTCAGGAGGGTCAGGCTGCCAAACTGCAGCCCCAGGGTGGGAGGCGCTACCAGGCGAAGTCCAGTTTCAGCAAATGAAGAGCCGAAGAGCCATTAGCGTCGCCTGCAGAGCCAGCTCTGGCCAAGGCCTGGTTGGGGGGTCTGGGTCAGGTAAGCCCCAGGCCCAGGGCTGAGTCTCCATCCTGCTTGGCTTCTCTGGTTTGGTATCTGGTACCAAGAGGAAGGGCCGAAGGCTAGGATGAGGGCCCAGTGCTGGGAAGACTGCCTTGCAAGGGCAAGAGTCTTTAAGGAAGTGAACTGGGAGGCGGAAGCAAGGCAGAAATCACAGCTTTTTTAACCCTGGAGGCCCATGGATAGAAACCACACATAGGGCCACGTTCTCTCAGCCCAAAGCTAAGGGCAGGAAAGAAGACATAAGCCACAGGGGCCCAAGTGATTTCGTTTGGGGTAGGAGGGTTGGGGGGCCTAAGAGGGGTCAGGCAGGCCTTGTGTCCTCTCAGCTTCCCTGGCAAGGGGCTTGGAGGCACCAGACATGGACCTGAAAAGATCAGGGGGTCAGGGAATGGATAAGTTCCGGAGGATAAGAACAGGGGGAATGGGAAGTCTTCAACACAGCTACTGGGGCCCAGCAACTTGCCGTGTTAAAATGTGCCCCTGGACCACCCGGCCAGTGGCGCAGGAGGAGAGACGTGGCACCTGGGCACAGTGGGAAGGGGCAGCGCCTGCATCCCCACCGAGGAGGCACTGCTGACCTGGACTGAGGGGCTGCTCTGCACCTATGTGGGGAAGCCGGGCCAGCTCCTGTGCCGAGGTGCTCGAGTGCTGGCTGAAAGCCTGGCTGCTGCTCTAACTCGGGAGTGAACCTGGGTCAATACCAGCTCCTCTTTGGCGGGTGGGAAAGGTCTGACAACCCCAAGTTCGCCCTGGAGAAGGGCAGCCTTGCCAAAGGAAGGCCTTTGGAAGCTGGCTTGGTGCTGTGGGCTTGAGGGCCTTGGTGGCCGGGCCCTGCTGTCCCGGCTCTAGCCCAGGCCCCAGCACTCCGTCTCTTCTACTGCCACCTGCTGACCAGGAATACCAGGAGGACAGAAGGGTTTGTTCAGCTGCTTCCTTTATTAGAAACAAGTGAGATGTATTGAGCAGAACAACAATGCATTTGGTATTTCCTCCCCAACCCTGGAAATGAATGCCCCCCTCCTTAGCCCAAAGAAAAGCCAAGACAAAAAGGTGAAGCTCCCCATTCCCTGTTCCCAGACATGGCACCTGCCTGCCAGTCAGTATTTTTAAACTGAATTGAATCAAATTGTCCTAAACAGCCTCCCTGGGTGCAGCTGGCTTGCAGACCCACCTTCATTTTGCAGCAGAGCAAAACTGAAGCCTCAGGCCTCCCCTGGTTCTGGGGAAGGTGGGCCAGGCCGTCAAAGGCTGCCTCATAGGTGGGTAGGCACTGTCGGGGGGACACTCTTGCCCCTCCCCTGACCTGACATCTGGTTCCCCTCCCTCTCCTAGACTGCAGCTCCATGCAGCTGTCCAAGGCCCTAGGGCCCTTAGGTTGGTTAAATGCTAGTCATCCTTGGGGAGAGAGTTCAGGACCAAAGGGACTCCCCTGGGCTTCCGAGAGCCAGCAAGCAGGGGGGCGACGGCAGTTGGATGGGAGTTGTGGGGAAGGCCTGACATGTTCCATAAACCTGGTGTTCAAGTAGCTGAGTGTAGGCCAGCCTTTAAATAAGACAGGAGCCTCTTCAGAAACAGGCATGTGTGAGGAAACGAGCTGTGCAGGCCTCGAGCCGGAGCACAGGCCTCCTATCAGCTCTCTCCCTACACACAGGCTGGAGTCTGTGGTCAAACGCAAAGTCAATCCAAAGGCAGGAGGTAAAGGTCATCTTCAAAACATGGCAGCTGGAAGGACTGGGTGACAGAGGGTGGTGGCCTTCCAATAGTGGCTCCTCAAGGAGGGTGAGCGTGAAAGCCTCAGGAAGCCTTTGCTTGGTTCAAGCCAGTCACACTGCAGGGCTCCTGCAGGGAGGCCCTGACTCCGGGATGGTGCTCTCTCAGCTCTCTGGCCTGAAGTCCCAGAAGGGGTTGAATGAAGAACACACGGACTATTGGGACAAAAAATGAGAGGCAGCAAGCAGCTTGAGCCAACCTCTGCACACCTGGGCAGGGTCCTCACCGTAAGGTAAAGCAGAGTCCGTGGAGCAGGGCACCTGGTTTTGGTGAGGGAGATGCTGGGGCCTTGCCAGGAGATTTCTTTCTTCCAGAACAGCCACCAGGGCCTCACCGTTTCCATTCCATGACCTGGGTCAACCGAAACGGAGCTCACTCCAGAGATCTGCGCAACCCAAATCTCAGAGGCAGCTGAAGCTGGGACCTGGCCCAGAATGCATCAAGACTAGGACAGGGAGCCTTTCCAAGTCCCAGGTTTCCCCAAGGTAGGAAAGACTTGGGCATTCTGTTCTTTGATATCCCAAAGGTCTGGACAGGGTGAGCTGCTCTGGGGCCTGAGGCGCCGGCAACTGTTATCTGAGAGGCTGAGAAGCAAGCCCCTGCCTCTCCGACTCCTCCCGTCTGCAGAACGCAGTGCGCATCTTGCTAAGAACAGCAGCTTCTTTGGTCTCGGTATCTTGGAGTCAAGGAGTCAAACGTCAGTCATGATTACTGGAGCCTGCAGTTTGCAGCACAGGAACAATGGGAAAAGGGAGGCCCCTGCAGGTCTCTGATGAAAATCCACCATAGTGGAGTTGCTGGCTCTAGCAGCAGTCTCTGCAGAGAGCAGGCAGCATTCTCAGGGGTGGCACAGTCCCCATCCCAAATATACGATGTCTTCTGGTTTTGGGAACTCTGCAGAATTAGCCTCCGACAAGCCACACCAAAACCCACGGCTGGAAACAAGCCCCTGCTGGCCTGCAGAGTGGCTTCGGTGAGTGGCACAGGGCTGTGCCTGGCCTTCTGGCTGAGGCTTCATTTCCATGAGTGGAGAGGTGACAGCAGCAAGGAGACCCTGCGTGCCACAGGTGATGCTACCTCCTCTCCACCACTTCCTTCTCTCTAGAGCAAAAGTTACATCCAAGCCTGGATGTAACTTTTCCTGACAATTCCACAGCCCAATTCTGCCCAGGCCACTTGGCTGAACACCACTGAAGCATGCCTGTATCAACAGCCATGTGACCAGAGGCTCGATTACTTTTTGGGAAACTGGCAGCACTGACAACCATCACTACCACAAAAATCCACAAAACAGCATCAGCGAAAATCAGACTCAGACAATGGTGATGGGAAACCATTTCTGTTGCCAAGTCCAGATCTGCCTCTGTTCACCACTCGTTGAGCCACTTGCAGGCTGTGTCTTGGAAAGGGGCACAAGAAATGGCTGATGGGTTGGAAGGCACAGGCCAGGGGCTGGTGGCTGAAGGGATCTGGGTATCAGCCCCACACCACTCCTGCCCAGCCACCCCGGAACATCAGGGTGCTAGCTCTTTGCTCTAAGATGAGCTAAGCAGGGCTTGCACTGACATGGTCCTCAAAGGTCCCTGATGCTGCTGTAAGGAGGTCCAAGGGCCTCTTCAAACTGCCAGTCATCCCGGGCAGCGGAAAAGCAGAATCTCACAGCGGACTCATCCCTATGAGGTTGGCAACAGCTGGCTAAAGAGCCCTATTAAATCAGTTGGCAGGATGACCTACCGGGAGCAGGCCAAGGGGATGGAGGAAGGGACTCAATCAATGAGATCTGCCTCCACAGACCGTCCCATTGCTGTGTCTCAGAATGCAGACAGGTCTGGCCCTGCAGGAAAGTCCCTGCCCAGGGTCAGCCCCAGCCAAGAGCTCCACGTGGCATCCCATGAGATCTGAGCCTGGTCCACCTCCCCTTCCTTCTCAAGGCCAATCATCCCAGCTGATTCAGAAGGGAACTGGATGAGGTTCTCCAGATCCTTTTCCCCAAGGTAAGTCAATGTCTCCTCTGGAGGAAACAATGAACTGTACCGATGTGTCGGTCTGCCACTGTCCTGGGGTCCCAATTTTGAGGAATGATCTGGATTCAGCTTTTCATTAAAGACCAAACATCCTTGTACATTTGAAACATGAAAGATATTTAAAATATTTATATATATATAATATATATATACTTTTATTATTCACCCGTTAACTCCATAATATGCCAATCACGAGCTAGTTTTCAGCAGTTACATTCCCTTGATCACGGCTGCATGAGGATGTGATTAACTGGAAAACAGGGAGACCAGAGACACAACCGGAGATGACGTCACGCAGCCCACGCCATCGCAATACAATTGTCAAGTTCACTGGCGGTTTGGTAAAGCCGGTTCAGTTCTGCTCCCTTTGCCAGGGATTCTCACATGTGTGAAAATTGGACCAACAGAGGTGGGGTTCCATTTCCTGGTTCGACTTTTCAGTGGCTTTATCCAGAATGTCACTGGTGTCTGGTTATTGTAGCACCAGCCCAACCTAAGAGAGCCAATGGGGAGAGGCAGAGCTGAGTCGGACAGTGGCCCAAAGACCCTCCCACACCCCCCAGCCCAAAGTTCCAAACGGCTAGGCCCAGGTCCACCGCCTGTGCTGTGGGAACAGACTCACACCCAGCTGGCCCCGCACCCGACCTCCACACCAGGGTCCACACGTCTATCAGACCTCCCAGGGAAAACTGGCCCACACTCCAGCTCACCCCACGTCCCCTGTGGCGCTGGAAGAGGAAAGGCTAAGAAAGTGTCACGCCAGGAAGAGGGCGGCAGCTCAGGACAGGAAACCTCCTGGCGAACCCCAGCCCTACCCTCCTGGCGAACCGTGGGCAACTCAACTTCCACGGTTCCCTCCGATGGGAAGGCCCCGCTGGAGATGACCTTTCTGCTCCTGTGTCTCTGTCCCGTCTGCCATCCTCACATAAGTTGCTGAGAGGGCAACACTGACCTGCTGGTCTGGCCAGCAGAGGGAGGGCATTTTCAAAGGCTTAGCTCCAGGGAACAAGGACGCAGACTGCGGCTGTCTCCTCAGCCCATGGCCCAGTTTCTGACACGGACTCCCTGAGCCAGGCGGCCTGGACTCTGGCTGGGCAGTGCCTACCTTCTCTGCCCCCATGCTGGGGCATTTCCAATTGTAAAGGTAATACTGCAGGTTGCCATCCCCTATGCCAAACTTGAGCTTCTCCAGGAAGGTTTTGTTCTCCATGAGATCCAGTGCATTGAACACATCAAACCCTTTCTGCAAAGCGGCAGGGAGAAGCAAGGACAGGTGAGGACAGGTGCGGACGGCCTCCTTCATACCCCTCTGCTGTCATTTCAAAGCTGTCCAGTGGGCAGCCCCAAGAACAAGGTTCCCTCAGAAGCACCACTGCTTCCGCAGGAGTCTCCACTCTCCGGGCAGTTCTCGGGACTCTCTGAGCAAGCCCTCCGGCCTGGCCTCTGCTCCGTGTCCCTCTAGGTATACGCGTGTGTACTCAGTGTCCAGGCCGGGGTTCTTGCTACTCCTGCTTACGCCTCCCTGAAACTTTAGTCATTTCCACAGTCCTCTCTGGAGTCCAAGCCCTGAGACCCTTCCTCGGAGAAGCTGGCTCCCGTCAGTCACCTGTTTGTGTGGCTTCCTTACTCCATGGATGCCCAGCTCTCTGGCCCTCAGTGCACCTCATGTTGTATGACACCAGCTGTGACGCTCGGAGACTGTGAAGATGCTTCCTAAGCCTCACCAACCATAGCAGAAGCTCTCACAGGGCAGGGACCAGCTTGCCCACAGCAGGCTTGGCTGGGCACAGGAAGTCACCAGAACCCACAGTGAAGCACTGACCGATGGGCTCTCCACCCCATGCCGGCAGTCAGACGCTCCGATGACTCACCAAGACAGAGAGCAATCACCCCTTTCCCAAACTGGGGAAGCTGTGAGGAGAACCCCTGTCTTCCCAGGGCAGCCCTGGCTATTCAGGCTCCTTGGCAGCGCCTCCTGTGAGAACGAAACTCACTGAAATAAATCAGGAGGAGTTCATTGCCTTCACTTTGGATGCTCCTTGCTCCCTCCTAGTTTTGAGTTTTTGACTGAAAACTGCGGGAACCCTGCCTAAGCAGAACAGGAGGTGGGGAGGACTCAGAGCCTCCCCGCCCTGCGTCCCGGGGCTGTGCTCACCACGGCTCCACTGCCCCTTCCCCGCACATCTCCAGAGACCCCCTGGTCTGCTCCTCACCATTTTGGCGAGAACAAGGGCGTCGCTCATGAGGTCTAGAAGAGGGGTCTGGGTGTGAACATTGTAGAAAGAATAAGCAGCTTTGAGACTCTTGTGGGTTGGATGGTTCATGATGGTGGAGGGCAGCGTATAAAAGCTCAGGAAATCCGTCACCTCTCCGTTTGCGTTCTGAAGGGGAGGCAATAAGGCAGCGTTAAGCGGGCAGAGTGGCACTGCAGGCCCTGGGACAAATGTCTCCTCTCACTCTGCCTTCAGGCAGCTCTGCCCCTCTAGATAAAGGTGGAAACAGCACTGGCTTGGGGCACTTGAGGACAGAGCCACGATCGTGGGCTGAACCTGCCAAACCTCTTTCCCAGCATGGGCACCCTGGGACCTCTTCCTGCAGCTCACATCCCCCGAGACTGTGTCTCCTATGTCTGGTCGGCACTAGGTTAAGCTGGGACAGGCAGGGAACTGAAGGCTTTCCTGAAGGATTAAGCGGGGCTCAGGTCTCTATTCCATTGTCAAAGTGGGGTCGAGGGGGAGAAGGGCTCAAGCCAGATCCAGAGGTATCTTTTCAGCAAGTTCAAGCACCAACTCCCTGTTTTTAGGGAGGACCAAACACAGATCGTCAAGGAAGTCTAGGGTGCCAACACCTGAGCCCTGGGAAGCTGGCCACTTGGGGCTGTCACACTGGAACGAGTTCGAGGCCTGGAACCGCTTCCTGACTCACCTCCACCACGAAAGTGTCGATGATGTTCTCCTGGGGGTAGAACCAGTGCTCCACCTCCTCCTGGCTCATGACTGGCGTGAGGTGAAACTGCTTCAAGTACCTGGTGAGGAGCTGGTGCACTACTGGAATGTCCTTTTTTTCCATTGGTCGAAGCCCAGCTGTCTTGGGAGTCTGAAAGCAAGACAGGAGAGATGGAGTGAGATGAGCTGATCACCCTGGCTCCACCGTGAGGACAGATCAGGCGCTCAGGAGAGAATCCCTGGTCACTGGGCGGTTCCCTACACCCGGTGCACATCTCCTCAGGCACAGGGCTTGCCTCTTCCCTATCTTTTGGGCCTTTCCCTCCTACTCCAGGCGGGCTCAGACTGCTGCATCAACCAACCATGCACATGGCCCCAGGCTGACTTCCTAGGAAAACATAACCCTTCATGCCCCACCCTTGTTTCAAACTCCCCACCTCAGAGCACAAGACTTTTCTACCCTCAGGCCAGCTGGCCTTTCTAGCTGTGCCTTTCGCCCCCAAAGCCCAGGGGTCCTCACTGGCTTCTCACTGAACTGTAACTGATGCCATCCTACACTCATTGCTCTCTCTCTGCTAGACTTACAGCACTTCACAAACAGACCCCAGGGTCCAGCCAGGGTCTGCCCACCCAGACACCGTTACACCAGTACCTCCCGGAGAGACATGCTGCAAGTTACGTTCAGAAGAAAAGCATCAGACTCCCAGGATTTCATCCCTAGTCAGCGTCCCACCCAACAGCTGCTTTTGCTAGAAAAACGCTTCAGTGGAATCAAACTATGTAATCCTGTGGAGCAAATAAATACTGGGGTTAGTAGAAACATCCCCAGAGGCTCAGATGCACAAAGGTAGGCTTTGGCCAATCTGCAAACGGGGTGGTGTCACAGCTCACAAGGCCTCAGTGAGTGCCCGATACAATGCTTCCCAGTGCAGGAACTGCTTGTAAAACTCCAGTTCTAGGACCTGTAACCTCTAAAATTCCTTGCTAACCCTCCTCTCTCTAGGGAATGCTCAGTGACCTCATTCTACATGGCAACTCCCACAATGATACCTCATGGGTGAGACATTCTTCTGGCTGCTGCAGCACTTTAAGAATGCTCTCTGCCTGCCTGCCCACCAGCCTAGAACACAGGGCAAATCTATCATGAGAACAGAGCGAGAAGGCACACACCACAGTCCCCCAAACCTGTGCTTTTGGCCGTGTCTAATAGTACTGCAGTAGTCTCTCAAGATGGGACACTAATGACCCCAATCCGCTGGTGGATTAGCCTCATTTCAGAGTGATCAATCCTGTTAGGAGGCTGAGGAGTCCAGGCAGATAGCTCTCCGGTCAGCAGGCCCTGAGTAACTGTGTGGACTGACAGCCAACTGGAAGCACTCCGAGGAAAGAGAAGGGAATTTAAGAATTTCTACTGTGCTGAGCACGGTGGCTCACGTCTGTAATCCCAGCACTTTGAAAGGTTGAGGTGGGCGGATCACTTGAGCCCAGGAGTTCCAGACAAGCCTGGGCAACATGACAAACCTCTGTTTCTGAGAAAACAAAATTTAGCTGGGCATGGCAGCACATGCCTGTAGTCCCAGCTACTTGGGAGGCTGAGGTGAGAGAATCACTTGAGTCTGGAAGGTCAAGGCTGCAGTGAGCTGTGACTATGCCACTGCACTTTCGCCTGTCTCAAAAAAAACAAACAAAACAAAGAAAGAATCCCTACCTTAGGATCCCAAAGCCAGCCACAGTTGGAACATTTGTTTCTTTGAGAAACCAGGAAAACTGAGACCCAGAATAGAAAAGCAGCTCACTTAACATTGCCCAGTCCTTCAGTGCCAAATCTGGGTGGGGGGACTGGGATTAGAAATCGGTGCTTCATCCTTCACCTGAGCCAGCAGAGGGGAGCCACAGACCCTCAATTACCTCTGCACTGGGCTTTCGAACGCACTGCCATGTGTGTGAGGTTCACTAAGTGGATTCATCCTTCTATTTATGCTTTACTTAGGCTAAAATTGCAGAGAATAGGTGTTCTCAGGCCTTTCAACAGATGGCAGAGAAGCTAGCCCAGGCACAGGCTCAGAGGAACCGAGAAAGTTTAACTAAAATAAAATGCTGCTGCAGATAACAGAAATAGAAAGTCCAGGAAATGTGAAGACTATGGGCTGATTTGCTTTTCTGGTAGGAGAAAGCCTGCTCTCCATCCAGAGCCCTTCTCTCCTGCTGAAGCCAGGCTTTCCTTGACCTCTCTGCCCCCTGCCCAGCGCCCAAGGGCACACTAGCCTCTGGCAGTCGGTACAGCTTCATGGTGCGCTGCATGGTCATATTTCTGCTCAGGTGGGAGAACTTCACTTCAATCAGCTTCCGTGGGTTTAGGGACCGATGCCAATACCTGTGGGGACAGAAATGTCCTGTTTTCAGGGTTCTGGCCAATTCCTATTACAAGGACAATGGCAGGAGACCCCAGATGGCCAGCAGGTGGCGTGAGAGACACATCAGGGCCCTCCGGAGCCAGTGGTGTCACTCCATTCTCTAGCCTCCCCCAAGTGAGTGCTGCCAAAGCTCCTCCATTTTTTTCTCCCTATTTTTCTTTCTCAATTTCAAAAACGATTCCTTTGCTCCAGTGATTGTCTGGAGAGAGCAATCCTCACTCCTAGAATCAAGTCAATGGAAAAGGCTGCAGTCATGCCCAGAATACGATGGCAGAGGCACCCGTCCTCCTCCCTCCTCCTCTTCTGCCTTCACACCTGCTGTTTTCACTTTTAAAGTTCTCTAGGGAGAGATTATTCAATTGTTTTAAACAACTTTCTAAGGCAGAGGTTGCCCTTAGATCACATGTCAGACTTGCTCTATTTGGTGCACAATATTCAAAACAAATTGAGCCAAGCATTCAAAACTTTAGGATGTTTCCCATAAAAATCCAGTTTTGGGCTCATCCTTAAAAAACAAACCACAGCACTGCCTTCCACCATCTCCAACTGGCAGCAGCCAACAGACACCAAGAGCCCTCCAGACAAGGCAGGGACTTGCCAGTCTGCCATCCTCACAACCCTCCTGCCCTCTCCACACTCCCCATCTGGCTCCTGCAGGCACCTAGTGCCCACCTTACCAGATACTACAGAGATGGGATGCTAAGGGCGGAGCTGCGACTCACAGTGACAAACTAGAGTGCAGACACCAGTATTTTTAGGGCCTTACAGGAAGATAGTTTTACCTGCAGGTGCCAACAGGCTTTGGTAGTACCACCCCGGCAGTGTAAACAGCCTGGAAGATGCCCTCCAGGTGAACCCGCCTGGTGATCTCTCGGATCAGGACTGGAGCCACCCTCTTGGAACGCAGCTTCTTGTGGACACACAGGAAGTTGATCTCCACCATCTTCTTCTCTCTAAGTGGGAAAAATCCAGGCGACAAGGTTTTTAACAGGGAAGGGAATGGTGATTCCATCAAACACATGCAGCTACACCTAGAAGGGTCAGGTCTGTAGCACAGGTGTGCTTTTAGCTGCCACCTGCACTCAATACTGGGCCTCCCTTCCCACCACACTCCACCAGGTCAGGAGCCCACCTCATTTCAACAGTCTATTTCCAAAGGAAAGTGGGACTCAAGCAAACACCTTTATTTGAAAGTACCACCATCATCTGCCTGATGAATCCCTAGGAATCGGCTGGGGAATCCCATCTTTAGCATGCAGGGAAGCAGCACAGGGAACCCATGGGGCAGGTCAAGGCAATTCTAGGGTTTCAAGGCTCTGATTCCCTCAAGAACACAGCTGATAAGCCCTGAAGACTGTGGCAGGCAGATGGTTTCAACATTTCCAGGGAAAACGAAGAGCAGGGATCACAGGCCCCAAGGACTATCTTAACCTGGGTCACACTGGCTCTGGCCCCTTTCTGCTGCTGCTCAAGAGCTTCCATGTGTGACTGGTACAGGCGTTCAAAATTGAGCCTCTGATTAGCCAGGTGTGGCGGCAGGTGCCTATAATTCCAGCTACTTGGGAGGCTGAGGCAGGAGAATTGTCTGAACCCTGAAGGTGGAGGTTGCAGTGAGCCAAGATTGTATCACTGTACTCCAGCCTGGGCAACAGAGTGAAACACCATCCCCCAAAAAACCAAAAAGCCTCATGCCTATAATCCCACTCTTGGGAGGCAGAGGTAAGTAGATAACTTGAGTTCAGGAGTTTGAGACCAGCATGGGCCACACAGCAAGACCTTGCCTCTATAAAATTAAAAAAATAGTAAAAACAAAAACAAGTCTCTGTGGAGCAGGAACGCTGAGCCTCAGGGTGGCCCCCTTCCAACCTGGGCCACAAACAAGGGAGCCAGCGGTGACTCTGAGCAGAACAGGGGGTTCCTATGATGAATCAGCAGTCCCAGCACCTGGGCATTCTCCGTTCCTGGGACCTTCCCTCTTCCTTTCATGGGGTACACGTGCAGCTTTTTTCCTCCCTCCCAGCAGGATGACGGTGTTGTAGTGGGTGGGGGTAGGTGCTGGTGCTTACGTGTCATAGATATGGATGTTTGCTGGTATGGCACTAATGAACCCAACCAATTTCCGACTTGAGACCACTCGAACCCCACAGTGCCACTGGGGGAGCCAGCCGGGTGGCCGGAGAGCCCTGGAAAAGAGAGGCTGGGGTTGTAGTGCTGCTTGCCAGCAGGCTGGAAAAGCTGTTTGGGATCCACAGCCAAATTTGGTTCTGACCTGGTGCTACCACCTCCCTGGGGGTTAACCGCTGAATTCTCTTTAGGGCCAAGCCTTCCCGGACACGCAGAATACAGCCGTCGCCATTTCTGGCTACTCAGCCCACTTGGCCTAGTTACTCACCCAATCCAAGGTTATCATACTGAGGATTTCGTGCCTGATCTAATTTCTGTACGTTCACTTTGACAGCTTGAACCACGAGACTGGCCTCTGGTTCAGAGCTCAGTAGGTCCCATGGCTGAGAGCTGATGGTGGCAACTCTGGAGCTCTGGGCTCCCGTCTCCCTCTTTCTGGTGCAAATTATTCCTTCCTTTTCAGGTAGTCCCTCTCTGCCTCAGCCCATGCCTCTCTCTTCCTGGATATTAAACATGGCTCAGGCAGGTGGACAACTCAGCATACAACTGAGCATGCTTAGGAACTGGATAGAAAATGAGCCTTCTTTTCTTTGTCTCAGTAGGTCTCATGCCCCTTCCTTTCTTATATATAGTCACCAGCCAATGAATACCTCTTCCCTGGGTACAGCTCTACAAAGGTCTCTATCACCCAGTCAATCTGTCTTAATCAAGGCTGCAATTTCAAGCTCCAATGAAAGCAAGTCTCCTTCAGTTGCAGGAACTCAAAAATGACACACTAATTTGCCATTCAAAGGTTGGTCCCTGGCAGGGATGAAAACTCTGGTGCCTGTGGTGGTTCTGCTCTATGCCTTGCCCTCAAGAACCTCAAGAAAGCCCCTATAACTTACCACAAAAGAAACTCTGGGGAATAATCAAATCGGAACATGTTGTCATCATCTTCCACGTAGTTCTCATTCAGGAGGGTGTACAGTTCTTTCAGCTGGAAAGAAAAAAACAGCTCATTTGGAGGTATTCTGCCAGGTAGGGGACCCACTCCAATACCCTGGGGCTCTAGGCTTTTCAGAAGGATGAAGCAAGCTACCAAAAACAATGTGGGATCTCACAAATCCTTCCATCCCCTGGCATGGCAGGGACTCTTGGAGCAAGTACCCTAGTTATAAGTAGAAATTGGAGCCATCAGGGGGTAGAGTGGCAGACCGGGAATGCCACCTAATTAAACAACAACTTCATCGTTCTGTGCCATCAACAATGGAGAGTCACTGGTCTCAACTTCTGTGAAGTGCTGTGGAGAGATTACTCTCAGAGCTAGTCTTACTCCACGGAGACTCATTGCTGTTTCCCACCTTGTCTGATTTTTACCATCTGGCCCAAACAAAGGCCTTTTTTCCTCTCTTTTCAAGATAAGGTCTCACTCTGTTACACAGGCTGGAGTGCACTGGTGTGATCATGGCTCAAGGAAGCCTCCAACTCCTGGGTTCAAGCAATCCTCCTACTTCAGCCTCCTGGGTAGCTGAGACTACTTGTGTATACCACTACACTCGGCTAACTTTTTAAATTTTTTCTTTTGTAGGGGGGCAGTCTCACTACACTGACCAGGCTGATTGATTTCGAACTCCTGGGCTCAAACAATTCTCCAACCATAGGCTCCCAAAGTGTTGGGATTACAGGTGTGAGCCACCACACCCAGCCACAAAGGCCTTTTTCTGCCTTCTCAGCTGTCTCCATCTGCTGGCCCAACTTTAGCATGAAAAAATTCTGTTGGCTGGGCACAGTGGCTCAAGCCTGTAATCCCAGCACTTTGGGAGGCCAAGGTAGGCACATCGCCTGAGGTAGAAAGTTCAAGACGAGGCTGGCCAATGTGGTGAGACCCTGTCTCTACAAAAAAATTTTAAAAATTAGCCAGGCATGGTGGCAGGTGCCTGTAATCCCAGCCACTGGGGAGGCTGAGGCAAGAGAATCGCTTGAACTCAGAAGGCGGAGGCTGCAGTGAGCCAAGATTGTGCCATGGCACTCCAACCTGGGCGAGGGCAAGACTCCGTCTCAAAAGAAAAAAAAAGTGAGGCTCAGTGACTCATGCCTGTAATTCCAGCACTTTGGGAGGCTGAAGCAGGCGGATTACTTGATGTCGTAAGTTTGAAACCAGCCTGGCCAACGTGGTGAACCCCATCTCTACTAAAAGCACAAAAATTAGCTGGGCATGGTGGCATTTGCCTATAATCCCAGCTACTCAGGAGGCTAAAGCAGGAGAATTGCTTAAACCTAGCAGGCAGAGGTTGCAGTGACGTCAGATGGTGCCACTGTACTCTAGCCTGGGTGACAGAGTGAGACTCTGTCTCCAAAAAAAAAAAAAAAAAAAAAAATCTGTTGACATTTTCTTTTTCTTTTTTTTTTTTTTTTGAGATGGAGTCTTGCACTGTCACCCGGGCTGGAGTGCAATGGTGTGATCTCTCGGCTCACTGCAACCTCTGCCTCCTGGGTTGACATGATTCTCCTGCCTCAGCCTCCCAAGTAGCTGGGACTACAGACACACACCGCCACATCTGGCTAATTTTTTTTTTTTTTTTTTTTTTTGAGACAGAGTTTCGCTCTTGTTACCCAGGCTGGAGTGCAATGGCGCAATCTCGGCTAACCACAACCTCCGCCTCCTGGGTTCAGGCAATTCTCCTGCCTCAGCCTCCTGAGTAGCTGAGATTACAAGCACGCACCACCATGCCCAGCTAATTTTTTGTGTTTTTAGTAGAGACAGGGTTTCACCATGTTGACCAGGATGGTCTCGATCTCTTGACCTCGTGATCCACCCGCCTCGGCCACCCAAAGTGCTGGGATTACAGGCTTGAGCCACCGCGCCCGGCCTTTTTTGCAGTTTTAGTAGAGACGGAGTTTCGCTATGTTGGCCAGACTGGTCTTGAACTCCTGACCTCATGCCCACTTAGGCCTCCCAAAGTGCTGGGATTACAGGCATGAGCCACCGTGCCTGGCGACATTTTTCGTCATTCTTTACAAGGGAAACAAATCCCTCTGGTCAAAGCAAGGGGTTCTGGGAGGTTGGGGTGGAAAGGGGAGGACAGACCCTCATTTAGCAGCCCCAGCTCATCAGTCAGGAGACAGACTAGAAAGAAAACAAGGAATGAACAAACAAGAATAAATGAAAAACAGGTATCCACCTTGGGGAGCTACAGAGGTTAACTCGACCTGCCAGAAAAGCTAAGAACTATTTATGTGGAGTCTTGGGCATGCCCCAGGAAGTTACAGATGGGGGTCTGTTCAGACCTCCGTGGCTCAGCTCTCTAGGGCTCGAGTAGGCGTGGTCTCCGTAAGACTGCAGGGCTGACTGTGAAAGTGGTATCGTATCCACAGTGCAACCTTCTAAGCGCCCACTCACCACACCGCGGTCACCCAGGTCCAAGGCATCCCAGGTGAAGCCCTGAGGCAGGGTGTAGGGCTCCTGGCGGATGTTGTCCTTGTCAGGCTCCACGGGGCCATGGGTGTTCACTACTTCACCTGAAAGAAGAGCACAGTGTGAGCCTCACCCTTTGCCCCCTCGGGGCAGCAAAGGGCTCAGCTCAAAACTCAACCACAGCAAATTCCTCGGGTCCCTAAGAGCCTTCCATCTGAAGAACAGTCTGTGCTTGGCAACTGTAAACCATCTTTCCAGCTACCCTTAGACCCTAACTGAGGGCCAATTCATGGCAAAACTTCAGGACAATCACTGGGATCCAAGGTGGTTTGTGTTTTGGAAATCCATTTAAATCTCTCTTGGGTCACTGAATGACAAACATTTATCTTTACTAATTTGGCTTCCTGCCTCCTGGTTGGTGTAAAGAGTGCTGTCAGGGCCCTGGCCCAGGCCCAGCAAGCTGGATGGGTTTGTAAGGAGTCACAACAAGGCTGCTTTTGTGTCAACAGCAACAATGTACTGGGCCCATTTCTGAACCAGATGATGCCTTCTAGGCGCCAGGCTCAATCGTGGCCCTGCCAGCCTTGGCTTTCAGCAGTGTGGGCCAGTTAACTGCTACTGCCAGCTCAGGCCCTCAGTGTTTAGAGTCCTGCGAGTGCCTTTGGGCTGAATCACCAAGTCGACACAGTGCTGCCGGGAAGTCACCCTGACACAACATCCCCTCCCTTTACAGCAGATGCCCCTCCTCTGCGGGAGTGCTCCAAAGATGCAGCCCTCATTCCTATCCACAGTTCAGTTGGACTCAGAAATGCAGAGAGATTCACCACTGAATTCTGGCCCTTGGGATTTTGGTTCTACAATCAGCTCACTCATGTTTACACTGGGAAGAATGTTATGTTTAGTGCATTTTGGAAAACTGAGTCTTCAAAAGGGACCAACTCAGTAACAGTGTTCCTAGCAAAGGGCTCCGTATAGACTAGGCACTCAATTCTTGCTTTTACTGACTTATAGACTCCTGATTCCAAATATTTCTTTCTTTCTTTCTTTCTTTTTTTTTTTTTTAAGACAGAGTCCCACTCTGTTGCCTAGGCTGGAGTACAATGGTGTGATCTTGGCTCACTGCAACCTTCACTTCCCCAGTTCGAGCGATTCTCCTGCTTCAGCTTCCCTAGTGGCTGGAATTACAGGTGCCTATCACCACACCGGCTAATTTTTTTGTGTGTGGTTTGTTTTTTTTTTAGTAGAGATGGGGTTTTGCCATGTTGGCCGGGCTGGTCTCAAACTCCTGGACTCAAGTGATCACCTGCCTCGGCCCCCTAACATTTAATTCTAACATGTAACAGGCAGCTCTAGACCTTCCCAGAATGAATCTGAGGGGCAAGTGTGGTGGAAGGGGATTCATTAGGCCACAGCGGACAATATCACTGCTGGCACTGACCATCTTACCCTCTTCCATTAGACACATAACTGAGCACCAACTGGGCACCAGTGACTCAGTGACCATGCCAGGCCCTAGCGTACAGCAGGAAAAAGACATAACATCTCACAAGACATAACATCTTCTGGGGAAACAGTAAATAAATGAATCATGATCCACATGCTAAGGGTCAAAATCTAGCAAGTGCAGGGACACACAGCAGGGAAGCAGCCTGCTCTACTGGTAATCAGGCTCCCCAACAGGTTTGCTTGGATAGATGTCATATTTTTCTTCCCTAGTTAGGAAACTCATGACCAGGTGCAACAAGGTCTTGCTCTGTTGCCCAGGGTAGAGTGCAGTGGCATAACCTTGGCTCACTACAGCCTCAACGCCCGAGGCCCAAATGATCCTCCCACCTCAGCCTCTTGAGTAGCTGGGACTTATAGGCATGTATGACCATGCCCAACTAATTTGGTTTTTAAATTTTTCACAGAGATGAGGTCTCAATGATGCCCAGGCTGGTGTCAAACTCCCAGACTGAAGTGATCCTCCTGCTTCAGCCTCCCAAAATGCTGGGATTACAGGCATGAGCCACTGCACCTGGCCAAAACCCACCATTTGCTTATTCATAAAGTAGCTCTTGTGAATTTGTTTAAGTCGATCTGCTTCCAACTGACAGCTATGTATATTAAAAAAGAAATCTTTTGAGCCTAAAAAGCTGAGGGCCAGACCCTTTAGTCTTATCTAGGTGCTAATTCTCCAACTTGTATTGAATTTATACCTTTTTCTTTTTTTTTTTTTTTTTTGAGACAGAGTTTCGCTCTTGTTACCCAGGCTGGAGTGCAATGGCGCGATCTCGGCTCACCGCAACCTCCGCCTCCTGGGTTCAGGCAATTCTCCTGCCTTAGCCTCCTGAGAAGCTGGGATTACAGGCACGTGCCACCATGCCCAGCTAATTTTTTTGTATTTTTAGTAGAGACGGGGTTTCACCATGTTGACCAGGATGGTCTCGATCTCTCGACCTCGTGATCCACCCGCCTCGGCCTCCCAAAGTGCTGGGATTACAGGCTTGAGCCACCACGCCCGGCCTATACCTTTTTCTATACACTTTAGAACCTTCTTTTTTCCCCCCTAAATGATTTCCATGGCCACTCACTCCTTCACCAACTGTTCACTAAATCTTAGAACCTGCTAGTTCTGTGGCAGGGGCTGGCAAATGAAGCAGACACAGGTCCTCAGAGATGAGCAAGGAAGCACCTACTGCCCGGCATGACAAGGGCCAATGAGAATGAAGTACAGGGTGCCACAGGGAGGGGCGTGTGTGTGTGTGTGTGTGTGTGTGTGTGTGTGTGTGTAGCCTGCCCTCTCCCTTACGATGGCCTCTGAGAAGAGGGGTGTGTGTGTGTGTGTGTGTGGGTGTGTGTGTGTGTGCGTGTGGCCTGCATTCTCCCTTACAACGGCCTCCGAGTGCCTCCTGCTGAGCAGGAGTGGGAAAGCGGCTCTGCAGAGCACAGCAAGATTGCAGCCAAGTCTCTCAAGGCCAACATGAACCAGTACATGACCAAAGATGATACTTGAAACTTGTTTTAAAAGAATTTGGAAGTTTAAAGAAAACCCTGAACTTTCAATGGGCTTCTTTCTGCACACTCTTTCCGTAAAATTCTTTCTGCGACATGAAGACTCCAAACTGGCCAGGCGTGGTGGCTCATGCCTGTTACCCCAGCACTTTGGGAAGCCGAGGCGGGTGGATCACTTGAGGTCGGGAGTTTGAGACCAGTCTGACAACATGGAGAAATCCCGGCTCTACTAGAAATACAAAATCAGCCAGGCGTGGTGGCGCATGCCCATAATCCCAGCTACTTGGGAGGCTGAGGCAAGAGAATTGCTTGAACCTGGGAGGCAGAAGTCATAGTGAGCCGAGATTGCACCACTGCACTCCATCATGGGCAAAAAAAAGCGAAACTCCTGTCTAAAAAAAAAAACCCAAACTAAGCAATGCAGTGCAACTGTGAAGGACTTTGGAAAAATGACACTGGGATCTGGAAAACATTAAACCAAACAAAGACCAGGGAGAGGGAAAAGAAAGGGGAAGCTTCTCTCCGGGACCCATGGAAACCAGGTGAGTGCGCATCCTCCCTTTGAGAGTTACTTTTTAAAACAGAGTGGCCAGACTGGATTCCACTGAGCCGAGGCAGAAAGGATACTGCTTCCACTGACCTAAGTGGCAAAGGGATGACTTTAAAAAGAAAAAAAGACATAATCTGAAGGGGGCATCAAAGGTTCCTCTGGAGGCTTACGGTTGTTATACAGACTAAAACACTTCTGCTAAGAAAGCCTTTCATTTGTATTTTTTTCATCTTTGAGACAGGGACTCGCCCTGTCACCCAGGCTGGAAAGCAGTGGCACAATCATGGCTCACTGCAGCCTCGAGCTCCAGGCTCAACGATCCTCCCACTCAGCCTCCTGAGAAACTGGGACCACAGGCATGTGCTACCACTGTCCGGCTAATTTTTAAATTTTTTTGTAGAGAGGTCGTCTTACCTTGTTGTCCAGGCAGGTCTTGAACTGCTGGGCTCAAGCAGTCCTCATACCTTGGCCTCCCAAAGTGCTGGGATTACAGGCATTGAGCCACCACACTCGGCCTAAGAAGGCCTTTCCATGGTAAACCTAGGATAATTTTAAGCTTCTAAATAATTGCAGGTCTCAGCCAGGTGCAGTGGCTCACGATGGTAATCCCAGCACTTTGGGAGGCTGAGGCAGGACAGCTTGAGCCTAGGAGTTTGAGATCAGCCTGGGCAGCATGGTGAAACCCCGTCTCCACAAAATTTAAAAATTAGGCATGGTGGCAGGCACCTGAAGTTGTAGCTACTCAGGAGGCTGAGCGGGGAGGACTGCTTGAGCCTGGGAGGTCAAGGGTGCATGCAGTGAGCCATGACTGTGCCACTGCACTCTAGCCTGGGTGGCAGAGCGAGACCCTGTCTCAAGAAAATAAAAAGAGAGAGTCATGTAGGTCTCTTTAGTGGAATACCATTTAATTAAAACTCTCCCAAGAAGGTGGGGAGTGCTGTAAAAACACAGTGCAGCTGATATGCATGAGATTCACAATCCTCAGTCCTCCATTTAAGTGAACAAAAATTAGAGCAAGAAGCTGTAGGTGACACCACCCCTGAAAAACTCAGAACTAGGGTGACGCCTCAGCCATGCAGACAGACTAACACACCTGGCAAGGTGGCACTTACTACAGGCTGACACAAACAAAGGAATCTAACCGGTGCTTGACTGACCCCGAGCCTCAAAGGCAGACTCATCAGATGCTCAGGGCAACTGCTCTTCCACAAAGTCCCACACCACATGCTGCACAGAAGGCAAAGCTGAAGAAATAAAACCAAACCTTGTTTCTCCTTCCTCAAACTGTCAGGGCCCATATGAGCAATTGTGTGGCTTTCTCTTGAGCTTTCTGAGAACTAAACTGAAGAACGTTCTACATTTATAGGTGAGAGGAAAACAAAGTATTGCTGGACTGAAGAGGAACAGAAGCAAATTAATCCCAATCTGCTTTTTAAATTTATTTTTGAGACAGAGTCTTGTTCTGCTGCCCAGGCTGGAGTGCAGTGGCGCAATCTTGGCTCGCTACAACCTCTGCCTCCCAGGTTCAAGGGATTCTCCCGCCTCAGACTCCCAAGTAGCTGAGATCACAGGCCTGTGCTACCATGCATAGCTCATTTTTGTATTTTTAGTAGAGATGAGGTTTTACCATGTTGGCCAGGTTGGTCTCAAATTCCTGACCTCAGGTGATCCGCCTGCCTTGGCCTCCCAAAGTGCTAGGATTACAGGCATGAGCCACCATGCCTGGCCTCAATCTGCCTCTTTACCAGGTGCCACTATTTATGAAGAATGTAGCAGCAAGAATACTCATTTGCAAATTCCTCAGGAAAAATAAAATCAAACCAAAACGCCATCTGAAAACAGGACCAAGATGTATGGCAGCCGCCACACACACCTCACCAGGGATTTCATTCAGAGGTGACACGTGTGGCTCTCTGCATCCTTCCTGCTCCTCAGTGAGAAACTGGTCACTGGGACCCCCATCCTGTGGCCCAAAGCCTTGCTGGAAGGCTTAGCCAGCGGGCCTGGGACCTGGCCAACGCAGGCAGCCAAACACACAACGTGGTAGGGGAATCGGCACCCCTCTTGTTCCTGGGCAGTGCTCTGCTCTTCCTCTGCTGTAGGGATGCACCTCTTCGGCTTCCTTCTGTTGTAACCAAGCTTCTAAGAACTGCATCTGCTCTAGAGCAGAACTCCTCAAACTTTCAAGGTGGACAGAAATCCCCTGCCAGCTCTGATGCTGCAGCTTTGGGTGAGGCTTGACAACCTGCGCTTCCACTAGCAATTAGGCGATGCCCATCCTGTAGGTCTGCAGGCCGCATGGAGGAGCTGCTCCCCACCTCTGCAGCAGACAGATCTCCTTGGGCACGGCTGTCTTTCTTCCTTCACCAGTCTTTGGCCCTACCCTGCCCAGCACTGCCCAGCCCTGCCCCACCCTTCTCTGCACAAAACGTGCTAGTCAAGTCTCATTGTGTTTCTGGAGGGGAGCAGTAATGTGGACATGATATTTAAAAGTCATTTATGTTTGGTGCTGGAACATACGATTTTTCAACATACTTACTTTCCTAGTCACAAAGAAAATAGGAACTAGGCCATCAATGGGTCCAGAATCATGATACGATCACTTCAGAAACTTTGTCAACGGAGTCCTGAAGTTAGCCATCAAGGTTGGCTGTGGCTCAGTATCGGCAGGCACATCTAACAGGATCCAGTCCCTTCCAGAATCCTTTTCGACATTCTGCCTGTTCCACCCCTTTAGTGGTTCATTATAGTTTTTTTAAGGAGTGCTGATGAAACCTATGTATGGTATTCCTGGTGTTGAACCTTCACTGCTGAGCAAAATCTCAAATCATTTTGCATTTAGTAAGCATGCATCAGCTAAGAGACAAAGGGGAAGAGGCTGGGGCCTTTGCCCATTCCAGGAATAAACACGTGCCCAAACAAGACAAACTCTCTAAGCCTGAGTGGAGAAAAAGATCTCTGGGCAGACATTCTCACTCATTGTGTGCCAAAAGTTTTGTTTTTTGGGTTTTTTTCTTTTTGGTTTGCTCATTTTCTGAGTTGGGGGTCTCACTCCTGTCACCTAGGCTGGAGTGCAGTGGCGTGATCTCAGCTCACTGTCACCTCGACCTCCCAGATTCAAGTGATCTTCCCACGTCGGCCTCCTGAGTAGCTGGGACTACAGGTGCATGCCACTATGCCTGGCTAATTTTTTTTTTTTACCTTTTGTAGAAACAAGGTCTCACTAGGTTGCCCAGGTTGGTCTCCAACTTCTGAGCTCAAATGATCCTCCCAGCTCAGCCTTCCAAAGTGCTGAGATTATAGGTGTGAGCCACTACTACTGACAAGAATCATTATCTGTTCTTAACCTGTGCTGTTGTAAAATGGTAAGGTCTCTAAACTAGTCTTCTATGCCGCATTTTAAAGACAACTCTCTGAAAACCACCACCAAGGAACTCCAGGACTCTACTGCCCTCCCTACAAATTCAGCATAAAACCTTCATGAAGGTACAGCTGAGGCAGATCCTTTACCCTCGGCCTGGCGAAGCAAGCAAGTACATACATACCCAGCTTGGGGACGGGCTGCGTATCCCAGAACTGGTAGCTTCGCTTGCTAGCCTCCTCCATGGTTTTGGCAGGTCCCTGACCCACTGAAAACAGCTCAATGGCCTTCTGTATTTCCTGGATCCTCTCTGCTGGCAAGGAGTTCATCTGAACAAGACAAAGTTGGGGAGAGAAAAGTCCCATTATGTTAGTAAGACTTTTGATTAATTATGAGTTCAAGAGTTAAGGGGGGCTGGGTGCGGTAACTCAGGCCCATAATCCCAGCACTTTGGGAGGCCAAGGCAGGCAGATCACTTGAGGTCAGGGGTTCGAGACCTGCCTAACTAACACAATGAAATCCTTTTCCTACTAAAAATATAAAAATTAGCCAGGCATGGTGGCAGGCACTTGTAATCCCAGCCAATCAGGAGGCTGAGGCAGGAGAATCACTTGAACCTGGGAGGCGGAGGATGCAGTGATCCAAGATGGTGCCACTGCACTCCAGCCTGGGCAACAAAGCTAGACTCTGCATCAAAAAACAAAACAGTTAAGGGATAGAACTCAAAGAAGGGGTTTGGTTCCTCTCTCCTAATCCCAGTGGTCATTACAACGGTAGAAAAAGTGGTTGACAATGAGCTATGTGACAGGTGGGTGCTACCTGCAGCGTTTCTTCCCTTATTAGTCTTACGTTGTTTGATGGCAAAAGCAATACATGCTCAATGTAAATTTCAAACAATGCAGAAATGTGTAAGACACATAGAAAGTAAAAACCCAATAATCCCATCCTCCAAATATAATCTTTATCATCAACAGTCTTCACTTGGGAAGGTGAGAAGAGGCAAATACAATTCCAGAGGTTTTTTTCTTCAAATATAAAAAAAACAAACAGGATTTCGCTATGTTGCCCAGGCTGGAGGGCAGTGGCTATTCACAGGCACGATCCCACTACTGATGAGCATGGGAGTTTTGACCTGCTCCATTTCCAACCTGGGCCGGTTTATCCCTCCTTTAGGCAACCTGGTGGTCCCCCGCTCCTGGGAGGTCACCATACTGATGCCGAACTTAGTGCGGACACCAGATTGGCATAGTGCACTACAGCCTAGAACTCCTGGACTCAAGCGATCCTCCAGCCTCAGCCTCCCGAGTAGCTGGGGCTACAGGCGTGCACCACCGCGCCTGGCAATTCCAGGGTGTTTTTGCATGGAAGATCCAAATGCACACACAAGCTTTTCAAAAACTATAATTAGATCATATAATATTATTGTACAAACTGCTCTTTAAACACTATGTCTTAGAGACCTTTCCAGGTGAAAACACATGGACCTACCGTTCTACCAACCAGTACGTATGACCACAGTATATTCAGCCAGCCCCCTACTCACAGGCATTTTGGTGATTTTGTTCTTCAGTAATGCAACAATGTTGCAGTGAATTTTCTGTTTTGTTTTGTTTTTTTGAGACAAGGTCTCCCTCTGTCACCCAGGCTGAAGTGCAGTGGCACAATCATGGCTCACTTCGGCCTCAACCTCATGGGTTGAAGGGATCTTCCCACTTCAGCCTCTTGAGTAGCTTTGACTATAGGCATGTGCCACCAAGGTCAGATAATTTTTGTTTGTTTTTTGTAAAGACGAGGTCTCACTATTTGCCTGGGCTGGTCTCAATCTCCTGAGCTCAAGCGAACTGCCCACCTCAGCCTCCCAAAATGCTGGTATTACAGGCGACCACACCCAGCATAAATTTTCTTATACATCTATTTTTACCCACTGGGATATGTATTTCTGTAGGATAAAGTTAAGTAAGAGGCTTACTGGATCAAAAGGTATATACGTTTGAAATTATTTATCATCAATTTGCTCTCTAAAAAGAGACTATCAATTAATAACCCAATAAACAATGTATGAGAATAGCTCCAAGCCAGGCGCAGTGGCTCCCGTCTGCAATCCCAGCACTTTGGGAGGCTGAGGTGGGTGTATAACCTGAGGTCAGGAGTTTTGAGACCAGCCTGACCAACATGGAGAAACCCAATCTCTACTAAAAATATAAAATTAGCTGAGCATGGTGGCACATGCCTGTAATCCCAGCTACTCGGGAGGCTGAGGCAGGAGAACCGCTTAAACCTGGGAGTCAGAGATTGTGGTGAGCTGAGATGGTGCCACTGCACTCCAGCCTGGGCAACAAGAGTAAAACTCCATCTCAAACAAACAAACAAACAAACAAAAAAACCAGAGAGAAAGAGTAGCTCCAGACAGAGCCTCATAATTAGATTTACCAAGCCTCAGCTAAGAGTGGTGGCTCACAGATATAAACCCAGCACTCTGAGAGGCTGAAGTGGGAGGATTCCTTAAGCCCAGGAGTTCAAGACCAGCCTGGGCAATATAGTGAGACTCTGTCCCTATTTAAAAAAAAAAAAAAAGTTTACCAAGGCTTAAGCTATGCCAATCTAAGAGAAAAAATTATGGCTTTAATGGTTATTTCTTCTGTTATGAGTTTAACCATCTTATTATTCATTGATTAAACATTAATATTTTTTCTTTTTGAACTGCCTATTCAATTAATTATTTTAAACTGACTAATACATATATTGCAACTATTTCCCCAGACTGTTGTTTATTTTTTGACTTTTAAAGTTTCATATTTGTCAATTTTTATTTTATGGCTTCTTCGTCCTATGTCAGGCTTAGGATAATAAAAATACATGTATGTTCTTCTAATACTTTTATTTACTTTTCTATTTTTCACTTAGATTATAAAGGAAAGGAAGAATATAAACCAATATGTTCATATTGCTTAGTCCTGGGAGGTAGGATTTTAATTTTCTTCCCCTTGCTGTTTATTAAATTCTCAGCCAGGTATGATGGCTCACTCCTGTAATCTCAGCAATTTAGGAGGCCACAGCAGGCAGAACTCTTGTGCCTGAGTTAGAGACCAACCTGAGCAATGTAGTGAGACCCTGTGTCTGCAAGGAATAAAAAAAATTAGCTGAGTGTGGTGGTGTGTGCCTGTAGTCCCGGCCACTTGGGAGGCTAAGGTGGGAAGGCTGCTTGAGTCCAGGAAGCAGACGCTGCAGTCAGCCATTTTCGCACTTCTGTACTCCAAACTGAGTTGAAAGAGTCTCAAAAAAATAAAATAAATAAAAAGGAAAGACCCCCACCTACCTTGTGGGGATGGTAACGGTTTGGGGCTAATTTAAATGATGTGCAACATGGTATTAAGGAATAATGGTATTTTTTTGTAGTGGGTTTTACATTGGAAATAGTAAAAAATTACTGGAAGTCCTATTTCAATAAGGTAGTAGATTCAAGTTGAAGCACAACATTTGAGGCATACAGCAAAGTGTGGAATGAGAATGGATTTTTTTTTACCAGGTTTATAAGCTATTTCAGAGGCAGTTCTTTGTTTTTCTAATTTTTTTTGAAATGGAATCTTGCCCTTGTCACCAGGCTGGAGTGCAATGGCATGATCTTGACTCACTGCAACCTCCCTCTCCCAGGTTCAAGTGATTCTCCTGCCTCAGCCTCCTGAGTACCTGGGATTATAGGTACACGCCACCACACCCAGCTAATTTTTTTTTCCTCCCCCCAGAGACGGAGTATCACTCTGTCACCTAGGGTAGAGTTCAATGTCTCGATCTCAGCTCACTGCGACTTCCGTCTCCCAGGTTCAAGGAAATCTCCTGCCTCAGCCTCCTATAGATGGGATTACAGGCACGCACTACCATACCTGGCTAATTTTTTTGTATTTTTAGTAGAGTCTGGGTTTCACCACGTAGGTCAGGCTGGTCTCGAACTCCTGACCTCAGGTGATCCACCCACCTTGGCCTCCCAAAGTGCTGGCATTACAGGCATGAGCCACCGTCCCTGGTTTCAAATGCAGTTCTAAAAGGTAAATTATGGATATGTATGAGTTGTCCCCCTGCCCATGAGCCTACTGTGGAGAAGACAACGCTTATGTGAAATTGTTTTATTTTGTAATATTGTTTTATTTAAGAAACAAGACGATCCTTACCCATATCTCTGGGTTTCATGCCAGCATGTCAGTCTTGAGTTGTAAGCCTTAGGCCAGTGGTTCTCATGGAGACTCAGAAAGACTCTGTAGGACTCATGGTTTTCATTATAATGACTATGGCATTAAGAGAATGTTTGCAAATATATAAAGGCCTTAAGAAGAGGTCTTTGGCTGAACAGAGTGGCTCACGCTTGTAATCCCAGCACTTTGGGAGGCTGAGGCAGGAGGACTGCTCGAGCCTAGGAGTTCAAGATCAGCTTGGGTAACACAGTGAGACTTCATCTCTACAAAAAAATTTTTTAAAAAAATTGGCCAGGTGTGGTGCCATGCACCTGCAGTCCCAGCTACTTGGGAGGCTGAAGTGGGAGGATCACTTGAGCCTAGGAGTGGAGGCTGCAGTGAGCTATAACCATGCCACTGCCTCTAACTTGGACAACAGAGGGAGACCCTGTCTCAAAAAAAAAAAAAAAAGAGTGGTGGGGACGTAAGACAGAGAAGACTGAGAACCACTGCTCTAGGCGCTAGGGGTTGTCACACGTAGCCCCCCGGGGCACTGGCACAGCAGCACATGCAGTAGGAACCTGTCCATTCTGATGGGCACCATGCTTGGGAGTCAGTGTCTGACCTGCTGTGTCTTTTAGGGTACTAAGAGCAGTTTCACCACCTAGTCTAGGGCAGCAGAGGATAGCACTGGGATCCAACTCTTCCATCTTGAAGTAATACGAGTGGAGTGGAGAACGTCAATCTAAGTTGTTCCTATACATTTACCTCAAAACTCTCTCATGTGACGAAGTGACTCAGTCACACAAAACAGAGCCTCCTTGTTACCTTCACAGGCTGATCCTGGGTTGACTCTGTCTCACTGCCTTTTTCTTTCTTCTTTTTTTGTTTCTTTTTCTTCTTTTTGGCTCCAGTGTCATTGGCTGGACTCAAACCACTGTAACAAAAAGTAAATACTGATGCAGGGTTTTAAAAAAAATCTGTTTTGTGCTACCCCTGACAAAGAGCTTTCTGTGGAGCCAGACCTTCCTTAATCAAGCCTGTTGGCTTCAGAGACTGAAGAACCCAGGTCCAGAAAGGGTATTTGGAGGACACCAGCTCTCCTCCCCACTCGCGCCCCCTCAGCTTTCAGGGAGGGAGCGCTGGGCAAGGAATGTCCTATTTGTGCAAAAGGGCCTTTTCCGTTCTTGCTTTTATTTAATGTTTATTTTCCTTATATTGCCAGGGTAATGGCACCAAACACGAATGATAATTGCTAACAAGGCATTCACACAACACTTCCTTGAACTCTGACTGTAAAAGGATGACAGCCAAAAGGCAGTGGTGGGCTTTTTCTGGAATGCTTTGCCCTTCCTTCCCCCACCTCACAAATGTATTAGCTTTCCATGAGTTTCCCCAGCTGGATCTGGAGCACAAGACAGTATGAAAAAGGAGTGAGGGATGAGGAAAAAGGCGGATTAACATTGCTGCAATCTGTGTCCAGAATGGTCAATTATGATAAATACCTAAATCGGCTGGGTGCATTAGCTCACACCTGTAATCCCAACACTTTGGGAGGCCAAGGTGGGTGGATCACTTGAGGTCAAGAGTTTCAGACCAGACTGGCTAACATGGCAAAACCCTGTTTCTACTAAATACACAAAACTTAGGCCAGGTGCAGCGGCTCACGCCTATAATCTCAGCATTTTAGGAGGCCAAGGCAGGCGGATCACAAGGTCAAACAATGGAGACCATCCTGGCCAACATGGTGAAACCCCATCTCTACTAAAAAATACAAAAATTAGCTGGGCGTGGTGCAGCACGCCTGTAGTCTCAGCTATTCGGGAGGCTGAGGAAGACTCACTTGAACCTAGGAGACGAAGGTTGCAGTGAGCCGAGATTATGCCAATGCACTCCAACCTGGTGACAGAGAGACTCCGTCTCAAAAAAAAAAAAAAAAAAAAAAAAAAAAATCAGCCAGGGCTGGGGGCACACACCTGTAGTCACAGCTACTCAGGAGGACGAGGCAGGAGAACCACTTGAACCTGGGAGATGGAGGTTGCAGTGAGACCATGCCACTGCACTCTAGCCTGGGTGACAGAGAGACCCTGTCTCAAACAAAAAGAAAAAAAGAAATACCTAAATCAGATCTGCAGGATTGAGGACAACTGTGTTGGCCAGCTCAGACTGAGAGATTGCCACTGGCAAAACCCAGCATTAGGAATCTTGGGAAATTAAAACAACAGCACCCAGTTACTCCGGCCATGGAGAGATTACAAGAAACATCTGTGTATAGGCACATGTGCACACGTGTACATGATCAAGAGGACTTCTTATGCTGCTTTCCCCTATATGACACACCCAATGAATGAAGCAAAAAGATTCTTAGCCTCATTAATTTTTTTGTTAAATTAAAAAATAGAGATGGGGGTCTCCCTATGTTGCCCAGGTTGGTCTCAAATTCTAGGCTTGAGTGATCCTATTGCCTTGTCCTCCCCCAAAGTGCTGGGATTAAAGGTGTGAGCCACCATGCCTAGCCTCTTAGCCATGTTGAAAAGTCAAAATTGGTTAGGTGCAGTGGCTCATGCCTGTAATCCCAGCACTTTGGGAGGCCGAGGCAGACAGATCATGAGCTCAGGAGTTCGAGACCAGCCTGGCCAAGATGGTGAAACCTCGTCCATCTCTACTAAAAACACAAAATTAGCTGGGCATGGTGGTGTGCGCCTGTAATCCCAGCTACCTGGAAGGCTAAGGCAGAACTGCTTGAACCCAGGAGGCGGAGGCTGCAGTGAGCCAAGATGGCGCTACTGCACTCCAGCTCTGGGCGACAGAGCAAGACTCCATCTTGGGAAAAAAAAAAAAAAAAAAAAAAGAAGTCAAAATTCGGAGTCCAACCTGAGTACAGTGAATCCTAATCTGTGGGATCAGCTAAACGCAGAGATATATTAACTGTATATTCAAAATAACCCATTTTCAAAGAATTAAAAGTCCCAGCATGGTGGCTCATGCCTGTAAACCCAACATTTTTAACACTTTGAGAGGCTGAGGCAGGCAGATCACTTGAGCTCAGGAGTTCAAGACCAGCATGGGCAACACGGCGAAACCCTGAATCTACCAGAAATCCAAAAATTAGCCAGGTGTGGTGGTGCACTTGTAGTTCTCTCCTGTAGTCCCAGCTACTCAGGAGGCTTGGCTTGAAGCCTGGGAGGGGGCGGCTGCAGTGAGCCAAAATCACAAAACTATACTTCAGCCTGGGCAACAGAGCCAGACACTATCTCAAAGCAAACAAACAACCCAAAATTAAAACAATATAAAATACATTTTCCCATTAACATTATGGGAAATACAATTTATAATTCAGAAAGACTTCAGGGTCTCAAAATGCCTTGGAGTTATTATGAATATTACTATCATTTCATAGAAAGTGATACTATATCTATGCACAGGGAGAAAGTGATCTGAAATCACATGCTGCCATTTCCCCTCATAGAATGTCTTCAGTTTCTCCTATCTCTTCCCGTTCCTGGTAGGAATGCTTATACCCAGACTTCAGGAACTTACTCTTGGATTTGTTACCTCCAGCCTTTTCTGGATCTCTGCCTTCACAGTCTTTCTGCATCACCTAAACTCTATATAGCTGTGGGACTTACCTCTGTGAAAATGGCTTTCCATGTGTCCCTGCCATGCTTGAAATCCTAGAGTGACAGCAGCTTCTTCACTTGGAAGGTATCACACCCAACTTTTCTCTACATCCATCAATCACCCTGAGTTCCACTTAGGCTGTCCACCCTGGCCTCCCACAGCTTCCATTTGGCCAGGCCTCTCAATGCCCCCGACAGAGAAAGACTGTGAAGTCAGGGAGAGATCCAGTTAAGTCTGGAGGTTCCTTTAGTCCAAGCATAAGGTCATGAAGTCCAGATACAAGTGCACCTACTTGGTATATTAACGAGACCGAGAAGGCGCTAACATGGAGGGAAGACTGAGAACACTCAAAGGGGAAATAAGGTAACTTCCTTAAAACCAGATGCTTAGCAAAACCCCCAAGGCCATGGCAAAGAACAGAAACCATAAAGTCATTTATGGCCTAAAGATAACTTTTCTTAATAACTCAATTTTGTTATCGCACACAGGACCATCTGCAGCCTATGACAACTCTGTGGTTTTCCTACTCTACATATTTTTCACTTCGGTCTTAGGATTATGTGCAGCATTATAAGATTTAAAAACTGGCTGCTGGCCGGGTGCGGTGGCTCAAGCCTATAATCCCAGCACTTTGGGAGGCCGAGGCGGGTGGATCACGAGGTCGAGAGATGGAGACCATCCTGGTCAACATGGTGAAACCCCGTCTCTACTAAAAATACAAAAAATTAGCTGGGCATGGTGGCACATGCCTGCAATCCCAGCTACTCAGGAGGCTGAAGCAGGAGAATTGCCTGAACCCAGGAGGCGGAGGTTGCGGTGAGCCGAGATCGTGCCATTGCACTCCAGCCTGGGTAACAAGAGCGAAACTCTGTCTCAAAAAAAAAAAAAAAAAAAAAAAAAAAAAAAAACTGGCTGATGTTAGGAGACAAGGCAGTGTCCCACTGTTGGATACAATTTGTAAGTCCTTATTTATGTCAGCGTGTGAAACAAATTATCTGGCCCCAGCATATGAATCACCATAATAACTTTTTATAATTCTACAAAAGAAACAATCAAAAAGGTAAGGTGAAAAATTGCTGTGTATTAATCAATGGGAGACTTACTAGACACAATTTCACATGGGGAAAATAGAAAAAATTACTTCTTCCAACTACAAGTATGCAAAGTCGCCGTAAAAACTACCTTCCTGCCTTTTTCTTGCTATTCAGTGGAGACACTTCCATGTAGCTATCACCTCATGAACCCAATTTTTGTGGAAGGATCTGGGGCTGAACTCTTGTTCTGCTTTATGCATTGCCAATACAAGTGTTTAGAAATCCCCAAGACTGAAACTACAATCAGAGAGCAAATTTCATTTTGCTTATATTGGCTTGAATTTGTACATGCAGCCAGTTACTGAGCAATAATCCTGTTTCAACTTGTACATCAAGCACATGGCTGAGTAACAAAGAAAAGGTTTTTTTCCTTTTTTGTGGGTTTTTCTTTTTTTTTTTTTTTTTTTTTTGAGACAGTTTCACTCTTGTTGCCCAGGCTGGCTGGCAAGCAATGGCACAATCTCAGCTCACTGCAGCCTCTGCCTCCTGGGTTCAAGGTATTCTCCTGCCTCAGCCTCCCGAGTAGCTGGGATTACAGGCATGTACCACCAAGCCCAGCTAATTTTTGTATTTTTAGTAGAGACAGGACTTCACTATGTTGGTGAGTCTGGTCTCAAACTCCTGACCTCAGGGGGAGTCACCTGCCTCAGCCTCCCAAAGTGCTGGGATTACAGGCGTGAACCACCATGCTTTTTTTTCTTTTTCTTTTTTTTTTTTTAAATGGAGTTTCACTCGTTACCCAAGCTGGAGTGCAATGGCACGATCTCGGCTCACTGCAACCTCTGCCTCCTGGGTTCAGGCAATTCTCCTGCCTCAGCTTCCTGAGTAGCTGGGACTATAGGCACGCGCCACCATGCCCAGCTAATTTTTTGTATTTTTAGTAGAGACGGGGTTTTACCATGTTGACCAGGATGGTCTCAATCTCTTGACCTCGTGATCCACCCGCCTCGGCCTCCCAAAGTGCTGGGATTATAGGCGTGAGCCACCGCGCCTGGCCCCACCATGCTTTTTAATGAGTCATTTTCACTGAGCTACCAAGCATTGAGCCTCATCTGTGAGGACACATTATGAGTTCACATAGTCTTACAGTCAACACCCCCAAACATGAACACAACCAATTCAGCAAAAGCAGACTTACAAGGATCCAACTAGCGTTAGCTTTCATGGTTAATTACAATAATTTAATTATTCATAGGAAACCAAGCTCAGAGACTTTGAGAGT